GGGGGCGGGGGGGGCGAGCTTTTGCGAGAGGAAAAAATAATAAAAAAGCTGTGTTTCTCCCCCCCTTCATTGCGTGAAACAGTTGTTAAAAACTGAGCGTGGTTCCCTGTCCGGTCTGCGGTCCTTTCCGCACACCTCGCCCGCCGGCGAGGCTGCGCGGTCGCGCAAAAGCGCGCAGGGCCGGAGCTCATGTCCCCTAAGCGAAGGAGCACCTGAAAGCATCCCCTTTCTGCTGGGCAGGACGCCAGGTTTTCTGGAGAGTTTCTGCAGGTTTCTGTCCTTCGTATCTTTTTTTTCCGCCGGAATTTTGGCTAGGGGAGAGAAGGGCCGGGAAGAAGCGGTGTTCATCAGCTTTTCGCCTTTGCTTTTCAGGAATCGGAGAGGAGTTTGAGGGGCGAGGGAGCTACAAACGCCCTGTTTAAACCTGATGGTAAAATTGAGATCTAATCCCGGTTAAAACTGGAAACTGAACGAATGCAAGGAGGTGCGCAGCAGTGACCCGCAGCTGGTTTTGCCAGAACACAAGACAGCGAGGAGCAACTTATGCAAAGGAGGCGGGGGGATGGGGAAGGTATTTTGAAATCGTAATGAAGCATAATGAAATGGCTCTGCCGTGCCAGACGGACACTTGCGACAAACGCCTGGATTTGCGATATAGAAAACAAACTCTACAGTGTAGATGGCGTGTTCTTTGTATACGGATAAAGAAATAACGAAGGATTTAATTTAAACGGGTCCATACAAGGCAACCGCTCGGGTGCGGCAGGGTTTGTCGGTCCGGAGCGGGGTGGGTACAGCGGTGACAGCCGCTCGGTGCCCGGCTGCAGCGGCGACGGGCGGTGGGGAGGGATTAATTAATTTATTACTTACACCCCTTTGGGAAAACAGAGGGGGATCAAGAGCACTGGGGTAGTAGTGTTTCCTCCCCGACACCCACCTCCTTGTCCCTCCCATCCCTGGAGAGGGCCATGGGCAGGACCCTTCCGCACCGTCCCCGTGTCTCCCCGCTAGGCCCCGGCATGGCGGGAGCTGCGGCGAGGATCAGGCGGCCGGAGCCGAGCCCACGGGGAAGGAAGGGGTGCTCTGGGCGTCTAGACGAGGCTCATTTCCTTATCGGAGGCAGAGAGAGGGGAAAACTCAGAAAATAAAGATTCTCGTGGGAGAGCGCGAAAGCCTGCATGGCTTAACTGGTCAAAGAAGAGCCATCCCGTGTGGCCGGACCCCTTTTAAAATGAAATAAACCAAAACGAAGCCCCCAGTTTCTTTCCACCCTGGGATTTGATCTCCAAGGTACGAGTAGGGACCCGCACGTCCCCAGGACCAGTCCCTCTCCCAGGGGAGCAACCCTCTGCCCGGAGGCGATCGCCAGCCCAGTCCCCGCTCCGCGGCCTCGGTCTCCCCCTCGCTCCACTCCTCTCCGCGCTCAGCCGCGCAGTGTGCCCCGCCGGGGCTGAGCCGTTCTTCTCCAGCTAAAGATTGGGGTAATCTCGCGGGGACGGACACCCCACGGCCAGGCAAAGTAGAGAGGGATCCGGGCTTTGCCGCAGCTCCCGGGGCTGCTGAGCCCATCCCCGCATCTCAGTGTTTTCCAGCAGGACAGGCACGCCGTGACAGTCCCTGCTAGGGACAGGTATGGTAGGACCTGGCTGCTTGGGGACGGAGACAAGCAGGGGAAAAAGGAGAGCCTTTTAAAATTATTATTTTATTTTAGGATTTACGGTGTTACTTTGACGGGGGCTTGGCTGTTTTGTTGTCCTTATTTGCGCGGTGCATAAAGGAGTTAGGAAACCAAAGGCTAATCGGGCATCTCCGCCACCACCAGAGAAAGGGTGAAACCAGTAATTCCCAGGCTGTTTGTATTCTCCCTTGTCTTTCTTTTCAGGCAGGCTGGACTCTGCTTTTCAGGCCGGTCCAAGGAAGCGCAAGGCCAGGACCGCGGGAGCCCCATCCCGCCGCCCCTCGCAAGCTGGGAGCGGCTCCGGGAGCGTGGCTGTCCCTCAGAGAAACCGCGCTTTGAAAAAGTGGGATCTCCCTCGGAGTAAAGCAGTAAAGCGATTTGGGGAGAGGTTTTTTGTTTGTTGATTTGTTTGTTTTGATTTTTAAAAATCCATTAGCAAATTCAGGCAATAAAAGGGCAAACCGCGGTTAGTTCTCGCTCATTTCAAAGCGATCTGGCACTATTTTGTGTTGCCCACTTCACTGGCTGTGAAACGGAACCCGAATAATTGTTTCTCC